AAAAAAAACGAATGCTACGAACATCTCGACGGTTGTTCTAGTGTGTTCCTTCTCCTGTTTACTTCACTGGTTAGAAATATTTTCATTTTCGGGAATACTAACAAATTGTGACATTTTGTAGGAACTGCTTATTATGATCAATGCATGCAAAATTGCTTCTTCGTGTCGAGTAGCAGCTGTCATACCATGTTTCCCTTACGCTCGTCAAGACAAGAAAGACAAATCACGTGCTCCAATTTCTGCGAAACTGGTAAAGGAGATCTATCTGCTCCACTTTCGTAGCACTGGCATTTTACCTTTTAGGTGGCAAACATGCTTTCAGTGGCAGGTGCTGATCACATCATCACAATGGACCTTCATGCTTCCCAAATACAGGTTCTTCTAATTTTTGGCGTTGTCTCTATTCTAGAAGGAAATTTTAGGGTTTCTTCGACATTCCAGTCGACAATCTCTATGCAGAGCCGGCAATCCTTAAGTACATCAAAGAGTCAATACCCAACTGGCAAACGTCAGTAATTGTTTCCCCAGATGCAGGAGGAGCGAAAAGGTAGGGCATGTCTCTGTCTTCAGCGTTCATGAGAATACATGTTTCCGTACACTGCTATTTTTTAGAGTCACATCCATAGCCGATCGTCTAAATGTTGATTTCGCTCTGATTCACAAAGAAAGAAAACGCGCCAATGAAGTAGAAAAGATGACATTAGTTGGAAACGTTCAAGGAAAAGTCGGTCTTTTAGCCAGCTTGTGGGTCCTTTTTTTTGTTAAACATGCAGGAAAGCTTTTAGGTCGCCATACTGGTCGACGATATGGCGGATACGTGCGGAACAATTTGTATGGCAGCAGATAAGTGAGTGAAGGGTAGTATCTCATTTGAGTCTATTGTATTAGAGAATCAATGTAGGCTTGTCGAAGCGGGTGCAGAAAAGGTGTACGCATTCTGCGTTCATGGCATCTTTTCGGGACCAGCATTGCAGCGTTTGAATAACTCGAAATTTGAAGCAGTAGTGGTGACCAACACAATCCCACAGGATGAGAATATGAAGCAGTGTCCAAAAATTCAGGCTGGTTTTTCTTCTACAATCAACTTAATAAAATTGCTTTCTGTTCTTATAACTACTTAACACTCGAAATATGACTAGATCTAATTCACATTTCCAAACCTTAAACACTCTGAACGAAGGAATGTCCATATATTATTACGAGTGCTGCTTCTGTTCGCGAACTTTGATTACCTCTCTGTGGTTGTAAGCATGCGAGGACAATTTTGAAGCTTTTTGACGGATGGCTGCAAGCTTACGATGTATTGTTATAGGTAGTTGAGGTTGGGAAAGAGTTTTTATACATATGAATGTTGATCAGCATATTAGTAAGTTTAGAAATCTTTTGCTAAATTGATCCGGTGTAGCAAACACAAATCTTCGTTCATTGAACTGACAAGAGTTCTTCGTCTAGTCAGTGGTATTTTTGAACTTTGATTTGATCAGAATGACATTTCTATAAAAATTATACTGACGGTGTGCACTAAGAAAGGGTCATTAGTGTTTAATTTCATACACGTCTACTTATCTGTAAATGCATCAATATGCTGCTTTGAGGAGTAGAGCGTTGTATGTGTTCGAAAATTACAGCTTTATTATTGGCACTTTTTTATGTTTGTAATCTTGAAAGATTAATTTATGCCTTTTTTTATAGAATTGGTCGATATTCAACCAAATCCAACTCAAGTTACGACTTATATAAGTATTCATCAAAGTGGTTTTTTACAGTGCATTGACATCTCTATGATTCTTGCGGAAGCGATTCGCCGTACCCACAATGGAGAATCAGTGTCATATCTATTCTCACATGTACCAATATGCTAAAAGTTTTGGATTTCATTAGAAGAATTTGATTATTGATGCTATAGTGTTTTAAGTTTAACTAGACTTCATACGTTATTTAACAAATGTGCGCTTGAGAACTGGTTGTAGCTACTCATTGAAGTGGTGCATATGTTAAGAGTTGTTTTCATTTATCGTTAGTTGGTTGAGTAATTATTGGTCACCCTATTAAGCAGTGGTCCTGTGCCGCTCTTTGCTCATACCTTATACAGTTCGAATTATCGACCGCTGAAGCGAAACTCGCTACGCGTTGTTTATTGTGCCATTTTTTTAAAACTCGGATCTGTATAGGTGGTAACATTTGGTTTATATGCACG